CACACACACTGTTGACTATTCACACACGCCAAGAGCTTGTTGTCATAGTGGTGAAGAGTCAAACAACTTATTTCACCTTACTTTTACTATTCTCCAAAGCTAAGGTAATTGTTGTATGTGAATTGTCTTTCGTATTTAAAATTTAATGTATGAGGCCCTATATGAGTAACACAAGAAGACTGGAATTCAGTAACTCTACGCATAAGAGTTAATACCACCTAAGATTGGTATAATTTTCGTCTCTCCATTATGTATATTATGAATGTTCCTTCTCGAATTTAAATACGGCGTACAATTCACCGTAAACATTTAATGGGATTTTCAACCTCATTCTTCATGTCGCTCCCCCATTTCGAGTATCTAGAGTTCGAGGTGTCGGAGTTTGTAAGTGGCCTGCAGTGTCGGAAACTTTTAATTAGTCCAACATATGAAATAAGGATGTCAAGAACTTATTATTTCATTCAAGAATTGTTTCAATTTATTTTAAAGTTTAGACATGAATTGACATCGTTGGCTACGAAGTTTCTCTCTCTTTTTTTTTTAAGGAATCTTTCTATTTAAATTTTTGATATTTAAGTTTGTATTGGTAGATAGAACTCAGGTCATTTAGGATTCGAGTCGTCTCATATGTTAAAATGACCAATATATCCATGTATACATCAGATGTTGATGATGTGATGAGCAATAGTTCAGGTAAGATCAGCAATTTAAAGCTGGGACTGAAATACAAAAGCTGCTTCATGGTGGTGCTGGCGGCGATATTGGGAACATTTCACTGGCATCCCTCATTGAAGCATTACAAAGGTGGAAATAAGAATCCATCAGCAACAATTCCAATTCCTTTCTCAAAGTAATGGCCCTGTTTAGGTATTGGAATCTTTGCTGAATAAGATGATGACTGAGAGTAAGATTTGAAATTAGGTAGGAAAGAAATTCCTCATATTCAGCCTTAGCCCATCAACAATGTTGTCAGGATCGATATCATTTGAATGCTAATAAATTGATCTGCAATATTAGTAGAGTTGGGATTGGGGTATTCTTTGATGGCATTGATGATAGAGGGCTGCTATGTGGCAACTGCCAAGAACTCGGGAGTAAGCTGTTTTTTCTCTCTTTTTTACCATTTTATGGACGAAACTTTTGCAATGCACACGCTGTTTCATTGTGAGTGTGCTATGCTCATTGGTAGGAACTAACCGGAGTGACTAGTTGGGTCGAAAACCACGGGGGAGTGACTTGCCTATTTTTAAATATATATCATTTTCCAAAGCAACATGGGTAATATGTGAGTTACCCAACTCACCTGATGATGCATTGATAGAGAAGGCAAGGTCTGAGCCTTTGGACAATCCTAAGCCAACTGCATAGTTATTGAGGTCGGACAATGAACTTCACTTTATTCTTCAGTTCTATAATTACTTTTTTTTCTTTTCCTACACAATCTTCCTTTTTCATTTATTATCTTATAAATCCCTTCATTTCATTGGTATAATCATTTTTCCGTTTTAGGATTGTTCAATAACTTCAATCCTGTTTCAGAAATCATAATAATATTCTCAAATTATAACAGTTTATCCTTTGTTAGTTCAATCCCTTATTTGATAAGCTGAGCCCATGCATTTGTTCCACCATAACTTGTGAGCCACTCATTTTGTTTGGTTCTCCATCCTACAGTTGGATTTATTTTTACAATAGTGCTGTTTATTTTTCCAGTGGAAGAAAATAAGTCCCTATTTGACAACTATTAAATCAAAACTCTTTTTCTCAAACTCATTTTAACAGTAAAATATTTTGCAATAAAATAAAGCAACATTATCACTGGATAAGTTGAAATAATAATGTTATTTATCATCATGATGATAAATTATCGATAATGTAGCCGTCTATGTGGAATAATAAAATTACATAGTTCAATTTATATGTGAGAGAAGAGGAGCGAGAAAAATATGAGGAATAATTAATTGTCAAATAATCGATAATTTATCATATAATGATAAATAACATTATTCAACTTGAAATGAGAATTGCAAATGTCAAGGGTGTGCTTGATGGATATTATTGAGGAAAAATGTATTTTAAATAGTAATATGATAGGNGCTCCCCCATTTCGAGTATCTAGAGTTCGAGGTGTCGGAGTTTGTAAGTGGCCTGCAGTGTCGGAAACTTTTAATTAGTCCAACATATGAAATAAGGATGTCAAGAACTTATTATTTCATTCAAGAATTGTTTCAATTTATTTTAAAGTTTAGACATGAATTGACATCGTTGGCTACGAAGTTTCTCTCTCTTTTTTTTTTAAGGAATCTTTCTATTTAAATTTTTGATATTTAAGTTTGTATTGGTAGATAGAACTCAGGTCATTTAGGATTCGAGTCGTCTCATATGTTAAAATGACCAATATATCCATGTATACATCAGATGTTGATGATGTGATGAGCAATAGTTCAGGTAAGATCAGCAATTTAAAGCTGGGACTGAAATACAAAAGCTGCTTCATGGTGGTGCTGGCGGCGATATTGGGAACATTTCACTGGCATCCCTCATTGAAGCATTACAAAGGTGGAAATAAGAATCCATCAGCAACAATTCCAATTCCTTTCTCAAAGTAATGGCCCTGTTTAGGTATTGGAATCTTTGCTGAATAAGATGATGACTGAGAGTAAGATTTGAAATTAGGTAGGAAAGAAATTCCTCATATTCAGCCTTAGCCCATCAACAATGTTGTCAGGATCGATATCATTTGAATGCTAATAAATTGATCTGCAATATTAGTAGAGTTGGGATTGGGGTATTCTTTGATGGCATTGATGATAGAGGGCTGCTATGTGGCAACTGCCAAGAACTCGGGAGTAAGCTGTTTTTTCTCTCTTTTTTACCATTTTATGGACGAAACTTTTGCAATGCACACGCTGTTTCATTGTGAGTGTGCTATGCTCATTGGTAGGAACTAACCGGAGTGACTAGTTGGGTCGAAAACCACGGGGGAGTGACTTGCCTATTTTTAAATATATATCATTTTCCAAAGCAACATGGGTAATATGTGAGTTACCCAACTCACCTGATGATGCATTGATAGAGAAGGCAAGGTCTGAGCCTTTGGACAATCCTAAGCCAACTGCATAGTTATTGAGGTCGGACAATTAACTTCACTTTATTTTTCAGTTCTATAATTACTTTTTTTTCTTTTCCTACACAACCTTCCTTTTTCATTTATTATCTTATAAATCCCTTCATTTCATTGGTATAATCATTTTTCCGTTTTAGGATTGTTCAATAACTTCAATCCCGTTTCAGAAATCATAATAATATTCTCAAATTATAACAGTTTATCCTTTGTTAGTTCAATCCCTTATTTGATAAGCTGAGCCCATGCATTTGTTCCACCATAACTTGTGAGCCACTCATTTTGTTTGGTTCTCCATCCTACAGTTGGATTTATTTTTACAATAGTGCTGTTTATTTTTCCAGTGGAAGAAAATAAGTCCCTATTTGACAACTATTAAATCAAAACTCTTTTTCTCAAACTCATTTTAACAGTAAAATATTTTGCAATAAAATAAAGCAACATTATCACTGGATAAGTTGAAATAATAATGTTATTTATCATCATGATGATAAATTATCGATAATGTAGCCGTCTATGTGGAATAATGAAATTACATAGTTCAATTTATATGTGAGAGAAGAGGAGCGAGAAAAATATGAGGAATAATTAATTGTCAAATAATCGATAATTTATCATATAATGATAAATAACATTATTCAAGTTGAAATGAGAATTGCAAATGTCAAGGGTGTGCTTGATGGATATTATTGAGGAAAAATGTATTTTAAATAGTAATATGATAGGAAATATGGTAAAAAGTAAAGAAAAGTTATTGATGCGATGAAAAATATTATCTTATTGAAAAATGTGATTGAAAATGAGTTTTGAAAGAATGTGAATCAAACAAGAGTTAAATTTGAAAAGATGTGAAATGACAAACAATGATGAAAACAATTTTGTGCCAAATAACCTCACCAGTTTGCATCCTCAACCTTTTATACACTCGTCAGTTTGCCGCGTCAAGGGTTCGAATTCTGAAATATGGATTTGGTCCTTGGATAAGTACAAGTGTACTAGCAACCTCCCACCCTACACCCTTGAAGGCATAACCTGCAATTTATCTAATTCACCAAGGCCTAGGACATGACAGGTGGAAACTGTCAAGGATGCGACTCATCCTTCTTTATTTTTACTTAATTCCGCCTACAATTTCTAGTTGTACATCCATTAAACGAGGGAGATGACGTATCTTAATCGAAACCCTAGGTAAGAGGTTCTTTGACTTTGTTTCTAATTACATGATTTATAACAGGGAGCATCTCGATTGGTCACATTTGCACTCACGCGTGTAGCTCCTTATTAAAAATAAAATAAAAATACAAGTATTTGAGTAAAAAACAATAGCTGCTAGGTGTTTATGCTTCCTGCATAAATAATAAAAAAATAAAAAATATTTGAGTAAAAAATGCAAGAACTATTTAACTTTACCTACCTATTGTGTTACTTTTATCCCAAAATGGCAAAATACAAGCTTCCTTTAGAAATATCACGCCGCAATAAAAAGAATTGGGAATATTCCCCTTGTGCTGGGAAAATATTTATCGATTATGCTACGTTTACATATATGTGATGAAATATGATTGAAATCAGAATTTCTTCAACCAAATTAAATAAAAAAAATCTCAAATCTCTTTTTGACACTTCTCATTTGTAAACAGACTATTATATAACTTCATTATGTACAACTAACATTATTCAATTTTTATGGGAACGCTTTTCAAATTCTCTTTGACTATTGGAAAAAAAAAATGGATTTTGGCCTATTTGTTCGCAGGTACAATTCCACAGCATGTCAGCCAGGCAACGGATATTCCAAGTGCGTTTTGTTACTTGTACATCAGAGTTGACCCTTCACAGTAAGGGAGCCCACGTCCGACAAAAAAATCCTACCCTCTTATTGTAAGGAGCGTAGCCCCATGTACAAGTGGCAAAACTCATTCCAAAATCCAAGCCAAAAAACCGCTTTTCGCCTAGCCGAGGACAACTGTTCCCGACCCCGTGAATATTCTCCTGTACATGTAGTGCAGTTCCAAAGAATTACATTGTGGATCCAAACTTAGGGCAAAAAAGTGAAAAAAAAAAAAACAGAAATAACAAAATGAAACAACTCAGTCCCTTAGATGTTCATAACGAGTTGCGATCATATTCGCAGATCATTACAGGTCTGTAGAGCTCATCACCGTTGTTCCATTATCAACAACAGTTGTACAATTAAATAAAACTTTACACAAATATCATTTAACACATACAATTAATTACAGGTTATTGTAGAAATGTAGATTCCCCAGCATACTCCTAAAGCAATTAAGAGAAAAATACCAGAGGAGACATGTAGCAAGAGCAGCACGCTCAGTTTAGCTTCAAGGGAACGAGTCAATCGGAAATGGATATTGATTCCGCAGACCAGATAAAGAAGCTTCTTCACGTATCATTTTCAAATCAATTGTATGAAATTAAAGGAAACCACAAATGCGAAAAAAGGACAGATCCATGGGGAGGATCGTAAGAGCCTGAACCCTAATTGAGAATGCAATTGTGCAAAAGGGAATTTATATAGAGAAAGGAAAGTCTAACGGCTTTGATGCTTCCAAAGGAAATTAGTGGCTGAGATTTAAGAATTAATGGTTTCAACTATCTGGGCATTCGGGTTCTTTGAGCCTTCAATTCATCGAATTATTAAGTTCCATTTGGCAAAGATTTTTGAAAAAGTTTAAAAATTATTTTTAAGATTAAAAAGTTGTTTTCGAATATGTTTAAATAAATTTATGAAAATGCTTCGTAGCTTCCTCAAGAAACTTTTCTTAAAAATAAAAAATAAAAGTAAAAAACAAAAACAAACGCTGAAACCCTAGCAAACTGGACATAACTCACAATTTTTCGTCCTTAATCTATTCATAAGAATTTTATTTTCAATATTTAATATTTTTGGTTTGTCAAGTCTTGTCGGTTCGATTTCGAATTGAAATTTCACCCAAGCCAAACTGTCGATTTGGTTATCGAGTTGAGTCGATTTCCAACCCGATCCGATCCGTGTCCACCCCTAACATTCATGGATGAATAAATTCAAATATGTTAATAATATTTCTTTTATTAATAAGTAAAAGAACCTTTTGAAAATAACTCTTACCCGTCAATATCAAAATAATTATTGAAATGAAGAGTAAAGTCTCACACTAATAAAACAAAAAATTGAAACATGACTTAAACCAAGGAAATCAATGATCTTAAGTTCACTCAGAGAAAAATACTTTCTCAATCTCCTAACATGCAAAATTGAGATTAGAGAATTCAAATGAGACGAACCTGCGTGAGAGAAAATAAAAGCTAGGATCTAAATAGTTTTTGTATACATACAACACACTGTATCATCAAATAGGCGAAAATAAAATACTTAATCCATGACAAGCATCACTTAACAACGATGAAATGAAGGATATCGGGGAAGAGACACTTTTAGGTCACATCACATTACAATCTTATTCCTCCCGTCATCTGGGGAGGTACCCTACAAAGCCAGCACAACCATTAGCAGAGCACCAATCAGCAAAGGTTCCAGTCCTTATGGAGTTGTGGATTTATCTCGAGTTGCTAAGTAGCATCCACTTTCATTTCTAACGCAACTTTTGCTGCCTATTTTCGTCAACTCCATCAGCATATTGTAAAGAATGTAAGGTGACCAGATCAATTACTTGCAGCATTTCCCCATGCGCCGTCCCACTCACTGTTTGGTGCAGCCTTGGGTCCCTCAATGTAGTTTTGACTGGCGTGGGGATTGTGAGGTCCAGGTGCATGGGGATTCTGAGGTCCAGGAAGCCCATCCATGCCAGGGAATTGAACGTTCTTGGATTTTGTTTTGATTCCTAATAGTCTCAGCACAAATCTAGCGAGCTCTCCATACAATAATCCGGAACGGTCAAACAGCTGCAAATGAAACATTCATGGTAAGCATGTGACACAGACTAGCAAGTTCCTGAAGACAAAGCTGTAGCTTCTCATTCATCATATAGTTCGATTTTGGATTTGGACATGAACAACGTAAATTAGATGAGATAAAATCCAAGAAACTACCTGAAGGAGGGCAGTCATAAACATATGGAATGCCTGTGTATTCTGATCTATCAAGATTGCAACCCGGCCAAAGAAATTTACTACGCCATGCATCTGCAAGTGTCAATAAATATATGACTAAATAAAAACCAACATGCTTAAGTCTACCACAGACAAGTGAAGGCTTAAATGAAATTGAGGTACGAAAAAGTTCATAAGATAAAAGGGATAAAGCAATGCATTCAATGCTCCATCTGCAGACTATCAATCTATATGTTTTCTTCCCACAATGAGAAAGGGAATCCTACAAGGAAATTAACAACCCCAATAACCTACAGTGTTGGTTCTTAGTGCTAATTATTAACTTTTCTAGTACTCCTCTCCCAGGTTTCCCAAATGAGAAAGAGAGAAGGAATTTCTAATTTTGGATGTTTAGCTCAGAAATGTTTCACAACTATCATCCCCTCTATCTTCTTCCAGTTGCTCTTTCTTTTTGTTTATGCCTCAAATTAGTTTGGTTAGGACCTGGTTAGCAATGCAAGGCAAGGGCATGCAATCCTCTAAATCAACAGCAAAATTTCAGACAAATGTGGGATAATTCTAATCTAACATTGCCCAATTCTAAATCTACCTATTAACGAGATGAATTGGTAAATTTGACTTAAAAATGACAAATAGAATCTGTATCTAATGCTATTGACAACAGAGTGATCAGAACACGATATAGAACGGTTGACCAAAAATGAGTGCTCCAAACAACGAAACTTTTGCTTCTCTGTTAAGCCCAAATAAGAAGCTAACAGACACACTGTCTTGGCTTACCGCTTGCATTAATGAAATCCAGAAACCTGGTGGAGAAGATGGAGCACCATATGGATTATTCGGATCCTGCTCACCATACGGACCCCCCATGCCCATTCCATAACCTCCCATAGGCCCTCCGAAGCCACTATTATACATTCCCCCACCATTAATGCCACCTCCATAAAGTCCGCCATAACCACCTCTATACATGTTGTTTCCATATAATCCACTGCCATATGACCCTCCAAATCCTCCAGATGTACCATACATGCCAGAAGAACCATACATGCCAGAAGAACCATACAAGCCAGATGAACCATACGTGCCTGTTCCGTAACCAGAATTATAATTCAGGCCAGAACCATAACCTGAAATAACATAGAACCAAGAGGCAACCTTCCATCAGACATCATTAAAGATATACATACGTGCAGACATTTTGTGTAGGCGTGTGCTCTATACCAAAAGGATTAAACAGGTTAACCAAAACTACATAAACTATGCCATCTCTAAAACTTGCTTCATATTCCAAACAGTGTCGGAGGAAAGGGCTGAAAGCTGCGTTGACTTGTGGTTGAAGGGCCTTCCCAGTTTACTAGATGGCATCCTAAGATTGGAACACCCAAATATAAGATGACATATGCTAATCACACTTAACATTACATGTCTTTCAGTTAATCTGGATAAGAAGGTTGATCTCTCCTTTACAAGTATATTCTCTCTCTCTCTCTTTCTGTCTTTATGCTATTTTCCGTGGTCAAATCATCATATTTGTCATAATACTCATTGCTCAAAATCATATAGAGAAATTTAATATGTATACTTGAACGGCGCCTAACTAGAATGCAAAATTTGAGAGCTGCTGCTCTGTCACTGTGATTGAGGGATGTCATCCTTTCTTCAAAAATTTGAGAGCTGCTGCTCTGTCACTGTGATTGAGGGATGTCATCCTTTCTTCAAGGAGCGTGGGAAGATGCTCTTTCTTGACTTTCTTACGACCCACTATTCCCCTCCATCGTCGAGAAAATCAAGAACCATCCTTTACCTCAATTTTATTTATTTTTTCCTCTTTTTCATTTTTTCATTTTAAAGGTATTTTGTACTGTTCTATGTTTTACATGTGGCAGAGTCTATGTCATCAATTTTTGACGCGTATACCTCACATTCATGCCATGTAATCTATTAAATGGCACAATTGACACCACGGGATGGAATTCAAATGATAACTTTCTCATTGCTTGATTGCGAAAATTGAAAGAGCACATCATATGTTAAAAAAATAAAAAATAAAAAGAACTAAGATTCGTGATGTTTTCATAAATTTTAGCCAAAACAACTCAAAGATTTGCTCTTCCATTCTAGTGTCGGGGGCTCTAAATATTAACCAAGAATTTAATCATTCAAATGATATAGTTGGTGACTAAGTGCTTATAAATAAAAAATAATTCACATAAAAAAGTGCTTAAAATACAAACAACCGATAGGCATCTGGGAATGTTTCTAGAGGATGAATGACTTAAAAACGTGATTTTTAACAAGTTTAAAATGTGTTTTTATGAGTTCTATGGCAATAAGGTTTTATATGCCATAAAATATCAAATGCCTTTCTTTGTTTGGACACTATGATATTAATTGTTTTTGTTACTGTTTCTATCAATTTTTTATAGGAAACACCTCATACACAGATATGTGTTTTATATTTTGAACGAGATCCAAAGTTCTATTTTCCAAATGTTCTCAAAAATAGGGCAAACAAACACATCTTTTGTCCCTAGTTTTTTTCTTTGTATGTATTTGTGTTGGGGGAGGGGGATTTGAAATTCCAGAAAATCATATGTATACAAAATTCAGAAAGAGAGACCCTACATTATAGTGAAAAATAAATTCATGGACAATTTTTCAACTTCAAAACAAAAGTATCCATCTATTGCAGATAAAAGTGCGGATACCTCCATAACTGCTGCCATAAGTCTGCTGTTCCCATGGCCTAGTAGGAACAGGCCTCCCGACCGTGTTTCTGTTTACAATTGTATTCCTATCACCTGTTGAAACAACTTCACCAGGTTTTGCAGTTCCAGAAGCCTCAACTACATCACTCGTGCTACCACCAGAAGGCGGTTTAAAAGGTGCAGGACCAGAAGAGGACCCAGCTCTTTCCCACGGTTTCTGGGGAGGGCTATTACCTACCATAATAGATATTCCATAATTAATAGATGGGTAACGAAAGGAAAATTTAAATATGGAGGACGATAATCCAACACATCAAAACCACCTCTAGATGAGGCCAGTGATTTTCCCATCTGCATTCAAACACGTTGATGATATGATCAAACATGCCTAGAATAAAAGTGAGTTTATAGACAAACAGATAGCATCATGAAACATCCGTGCCTTGTCCATTGGCAAAACTAAGAGAAGTCAGTCAATGAATCTTTGTGGCTTCTCTTCCTCAAAAATTCTCTATACACATTCCTATGGGAAAAAAATTGTGCATTCTGTCACATGGCTGTTTTGACTATCCTATGTTTTTTTCTATTTATTTTTATGTATTTTGAATAAGTCATGAGTGGTTATGGGTCTCTTTATGTCTTTGGGTTGTTCCATTATTTTAGCATAATAAGCAATGTGAAGTGACTCTAATGTTCTGATTTAATTTGGATATATACCTTCTGCTAATAAAAATGAGATGGTGATTATCTGCATTCAAACTGAACATTTAATTTTGGAGCTCTAGGCCATTGAAAAGACAGATTTATTCAAAGTTCAGACTTAATTCTTTAAGAAATAAGTGTTAAATTTGGTTAAGATCCACTCGTTGAGCAGCATGAGAAACATGTGGAACAGCTGGATAAGCGTTGGAGTGGCCAACAACCAAGAACTCTTATTCCACTTCACGCAGATGTTGATTGTACAAGTGCTACAGGAGAACAGAACATTGGAAAGCAGCAGCAAGAGACAGGAATCAGGGAAAGTTCTTCTCTATACCTTCACCGGCTAAATGGAATCCAATTATGATCAGCATCAACAATCCAATTGATCATATATCTTCTTATTTGAAATGGCGAAGTTGGATTTTCCAGAGCACAATGACAAGGACAATTGAACAAATTGGATTTGTTCCAAATGTGGTGCTATTCGATAAATGTAGCACTTATAATTTTATTAGGTCCCAAATGGAAAAGACTGGACTAGTTATTATGCTTTACAAATAGACAAATTTACCAGATGTCAGTTAACATATTTTTGCAAATGATAGCGTCAACAAGGCAAGCTCTAAGAGGTGACAACGATTTTCAATCATTCATTGCAAACAGTATGTCATTACTTCAAGGAGGTTCTCCGTGCCGTTGTTGCGTTATCGGCTCGGCCCATACAGCCAAGACCGAACTACGATGAGGGCGAAGAGCCCCACAGGCCAAACCCGAATAAGCATCCCTTGTTTCAAGATTGCATTGGTACTATTGATGGAACGCATGTGAAAATTGTACTACCGCGTCACGAGCAGGTGAACTTCATTGGCCGAAAAGGAGTGCCGACGCAAAATGTGTTGGCCGCCTGTGACTTTAATTTTTGCTTCACGTTCGTGCTTGCCGGCACAACTTGGAATACGCACGACGCTCGTATACTAGCTCGCGTTGTACATAGTCCAGAAATTCATTTCCCATTACTAACACCGGATAAGTATTATTTGGTTGACTCCAAATTTGCTCATCGACCGGGATATATGGCCCCTTACAAAGGATCGGATATATTGTACCATTTTCAAGAGTTTCGCAACAATGGAACAGGTAGTCGTCGTCGTTTTCGTAATACTCGTGAGAGATTTAACTATAAACACTTGTCTTACAGGAACGTCATTGAACGTGCATTTAGTGTGTGGAAGCAAAGGTAGCAAATCCTCGATCGTATGCCTAGTTATTCGTTCCGCACTCAAGTTGTCGCAACGATGGGTATCCATAATTTTCTACATCGTTCTAGAGTGGTGGACGATGCGTTTATTACAGTAGAAACGGATGAGGATGCTTCCGAGGTGGAGCTACCAACCGCTGAAGATGAAACGCATGCCGAAATGAACGCACCCGAAATGCAGCGAAGTGATTGGAACAGATTTCGCAATTATATGGCACAGCAACAATGACAATGTATTTTTTCCCGGTGCGAAATTCGATGCAAAATTTGAGCCGTGTTCAAACTGGGAAAGTCGTTCGAACTATTTGTTGCTCGTAGTGAGGTTCAATGCTATGTCAAACGCGAGATTTATTTTAACAAGATATTAATTTCACTTTAGGTAGGGAAATGAACCATTTTCATAGAATAATAAAAAGGAAAAAGGGATAAAATTCAATGTCAAATGCAATTACTTTCACTGTAAGTACTGTGCATGACGTAACAAGAATAGTGCATAATTTTGGTGTAACCATTTTCATAGAAGGGCAAAAACGAAAAAAGGACTAAAATTCAATTTCAAATGCAATTACTTTCACTATAGCTACTGTGCATGATTTGACAAGAAGAATGCATTATTTTGGTTTTAATGTGCACCAAACGAGGGCTATATAATGCAAGGAATCCCTCCATGGAAGATCAGTCAAAGGTTTGTTATGACATCAGAGCCTACCTCATAGACTTTATACTGAAACCTCAGTTTTATTTGGACGTAACTCGGCCTCTTAGGTGTGGGTCTCTTATGGTAGGTCCACAATTGACAAACATTTTGTCAACGTGTGAATCTTGTGGCGTCCACAATTGACAAATTTTTTGTCAACGTGTGACTCTTCGGTACGTTGAGTTATTGTGTGGGCAGTCCATTGGGGCTTATTTTGGAAGGGTGGATTGTGGCATGTGCGTGTGGTTATTTTTGGGCTACACATTGGAGTAAGGTTTTTTGAGTTCTTTTGTACATCATTTAAAATATTGATGCTTCTTGATCATTTAACATCAATTTGAGGGGGATATCAATAAAATCAACAAGAATCATGGAGATTGACAAAGGTCATGAAAATTTGTATTTAACATATTTAGGTTGATTACATCTACAATATTTAGATTACTATCATATTTATATAAGGTAATACTTTTCCTATATAATGCAAGGAATCCCCTAAGGGAATATCATCCAGTCAAGAATTTGTTAGTTCCAATACCCCGTTCTGCTTGATCAAAGCAAGGTTAAGCATTGTTCTAGTTCTTGGGATTTTTCCATCATCTTAATTTTGAATTTCCAGTAAGTTGTGGATGATTTAATTGTCTAGTAAGTTGAACTAAAAATTTCTAGTCATTAATGTGCAACTCAAGAGTCACACGTGTTATTATAAATTGAAGCCAAATCTACATAGATGAGGCCGATTTGAGGACTCAAAAATAAGTGATGTTGAGTGTGGATGACTGTCTGAATCTTTTATAAATAAAACTTGTGATGGATAAAAACAAGATACTAAATTTCTGCATTCGAACTGACATTTGAATTTTGGAGGTTTTATACCCTCGAAGAGCCAGATAACTGCAACTTTCGCACCTAAATCTTCAAAGACTTGGAGATGACATAATTCTCTTACAATGAAAAATAAAGTCCCAGTAAAAATTGATCATTGGTGTGCCATCATTATGTACCGAGGAACCCACAATAGTAAGAAATTTATCATTTACCCCAAGGTGTATCAAGCAGAAGATAGAGATCCGATATTTCGAAAAACCTTACGATCAAAATAACTACCAAATTTTCCCCAAATCAAATATCAAAAACCTCACTTACAGCCATAGGTGCAGGTTAACTAATAACAAAAGTGATAAAAGGAATTAAATTAACCACAATACTGATTAATGGAAACAAATACATATTCAATTGAATTTCATATGTACCGACCTGATGATTGCTGAGCTTTGTTGTCCATGGCGGAGGAGGAGGGTAGAGGAGAGAGGGTGGTTGCAATTCCAAATTGTGGTTTGGTTTATCTCTATTCTGTATATCTCGCAACGCCCAAGAAATTTCGCTAGCATTTCTAATGTTCAAATTTACAATTCTGCCCTTTCAAACCAATCTGAACCCGCCAACTTGGTTACCCAGTCTCAGTGTACCCGTATTTTTTATCGAGAAAAATTAATTTCTCCTACTTTATCTTTACCCTATTTCAAAAATAATAAAACAACTTTCACATTTCAAAAATCAGATATTTTAATCTATACATACACATATATATAAATATTTATTTATATATATAAATATATAAAAAGATATAAATATATATAAAATTAACTCACCCACCACCCCCACCGCTCCTGCGACCGGTCCGTCGGCTATTCCGGCGACGCTCCGGTGCCGATTCCGACGACTGCTTCGGCGATCGTTCCGACGACTACTTCAATTCCGGTGACCGTTCCGGCGACTGCTCCGACTCAGGTCACAAGTCACAATCCAGGTCACAACTCAGGTCGCAAGTCACAGTCCAAGTCACAAGTCACAGTTCAGGTCACAAATCAGAATTTTGTTCATAATCACGAGTTATTTTCAAATGATCACAGCATAGGTCAAAAATTTTATAGGTCATAATTTGTTTATCGGTCACAGATCAAAAAATTTTCAGGTCACAGATTATTTCGAGATCACAAATCAATAATTTTATAGACCACATATTATTTTATTGGTCACATATCAAAAAATTACAGATTACGGATTAATTTTTAGTCACAAATTGTCGAATTTTAAGGTCACCAATAGTCCATCATGCGGTCACAGTCTAATCTATGACCACCGTCAACAGTTGTGCCACCACCATAAAATATAAAAAAAAAAATAAAAACCGCCTCAGCTACTTGCTTACAAGCCGGCACCACTTCACCGCCGTCAAACACGCAGCACAGCCAACACCACCATCACATCCAACATAACCTCCGCCACCTAAACGCCACCGCTACCACATCCGGCAACACCTCCA